TCCCTCGCGACTTACGAAGTCGATTATGGTTTACTAACAACCAGCTTTGCAACGCGTCGCTTTTAACCTAGACCAGGATTAATTTTGTGAGAAGACAACTCACTCTGCCGGGACTCGAACTCATGACCTGGCCCTTAGCAGGCTGTGAGGTTACCCACTAGACTACCGGGGCGACCGGTGTAGGTGTGATGAGGGGATTTCTCATGGGCCGCGCGCAATGATAAACATGCCTTTGAAACACGTACGTATAGTAGAGCCACGGGTGGGCGACAAAAGTCATCCCGCACACCGAGGTTCCCCTCCCCCCGAGCAATCTCCCACACTGCTGACAGTTTTGTTGAACCGCCCATGGTTCACCCATAGACCGCCCATGGGCACTTGATGGGCCGCCATGGGCCGCCCATGGGCAGCCATGGGCGACCCATGGGCGGCCCATAAACTGCCTACGAGGTGCCTACCGTGGGCTTCAACCTAGAACTCGCGACCGCATATCAGCCTAGAACTTAGCCCAAGGGGCACATCAGCCTAGAACTTAGCTAGCACGTGTCGTGTGGGCTTGGGGTTAGGGTTAGCGTTAGCGTAAGGGGTAGCAGCCGTTACACTGTCCGTTCCAGAGCAGAAAATAGGATCGCTACAACGAGCGTCAGCTGATAGATTTAACTGTCGCCACACGTGTGCGTCCACGGGCAGAAACAGAGTGCAAACACCACACACGTATCAACAACCTGCTGTGCTGGGTGAGAGATGTGGTAACAGAAGGCCTGTAGACTGTAGACTACAGACTTCACGTACCGGTTACCCCCCCCCCGTCCACATCCCGCTTTCATGGTCATCATACATACCGGTCGCCCCGGTGGTCTAGTAGGTAACCTCGCAGCCTGCTAAGGGCCAGGTCATGAGTTCGAGTCCCGGCAGAGTGATGAGTGTCTTCTCACTAAATATATCCTGGTCTAGGATGAAAGGGACGCGTTGCAAAGCTCGTTGTTAGTAAACCATGATCGACTTCGTAGGTCGCGAGGGAAGGGATTGCTGTACCCTTCTTGCGATAAACATTCCTCAGGCAGGAACCGCAGGAGGTGGTCTAGCCCCCTCCTCCTATGTGACCCCGGTTGGGTCGTCTAGCTAATAGTAGAAGTGGAGGATAAGGGCCAGAGGGGCAGACGACAGAGTCCAATGATGGGAGGAAAAAAAAAATACCGCCCGAATACTAAGGTTGAACCCCTTGTTCCCTCTTTTTTGTTCGGTTTTTCTCCAACTGCCAGCGAAAGAGCAGGACACAAGTCAGTTCTCGGGACCTATCGCACCAATCTTCATAGCACCACTTCGACCGTGTGCTCCATTACGATACCTCGGGGCGTGACGCTGTGTGTGGGACGACCTTCGTGGCGGCGTGGAATTCAAATCGTTTTTTTTGGCCCGGGTAATCGGGCCGCATGGCCAGGCGAAAACGCCAAACCGGATTTCACATCGCCACGATACTCTCGCCACATACAGCACCCATTCCCAACACATCTATCACGCCCAGAGACACCGCAATGAAGCACACGCTCGGAGTGGTGCGATGGCGATCGGCGTCCTAGGTTTCGAGAACTAGTGTGGTGCTGTGCTCACATTGCTGGCAGTTGCACGCGGCTGTAAAAAAAGAACATGCGCAACAGAGCAATACATAGCCTCATCACACCACAGAGTCCAGCGGCATCGAGCCCAGATGCCGTCGCCCGCTGTGCGTGTGTGTCACTTGTTGTGCGTACGCTGTCTGCTGTGCGTGTGGTGTCTGCTGTGTGGTGTCGCCCGCAGTGCGTGTGTTCTCTGCTGCAATCCGCTGACGGTGTGCTCCGAAAAAAAAAAAGTGCATCTGCTGACCCCCGTAGTCCAAATTTTAGTAGTCTCCTGTAAAACCTAGGTAAAGCGCGTACAGACACTCAATCTTTTTGGGGGTTCAGCCGGCCCTTTCAACTCAAGGGGCCGGCCGGCGATCCAGATTAGAAATCTCGCTCCCGCGAATAATCTATTGTTGAGGAGTACACTGGTTCCGGTTGAAAAGCACCCAATGGCCGCCCAAGTGATGCCCATGGGCGGCCCATAGGCACCACGGGGTTGTGCGAAGGTGTACCGATTCAGGTAAAAGTCAATCGACGGATACCCTGCGAATCGGGTCCTCCTTAACACTCTCCACCCACAGAATTTACCCTCAACTGGGAACCTCTTGTGGCCAGGATGGGTAATTCGATGGAAGTGTCACAAGGTTCTTTCTAGGATCGACTCCAAGAGGTGTTCTCAGGACTGACACACATTGTGTCCATGGGAAAATATCCAAGTCAGGAGAACAAGTGTGCAGTGTGCACCCAAGGAGATTCGAACCAGTATCCAGCTGACGCCATATGCGAAGGTGTACCGATTCAGGTAAAAGTCAATCGACGGATACCCTGCGAATCGGGTGTTCCCTAACAGTTGCCCGTGGGTGACCCATTGGCGGTTTAGCAAAACTGTCGAAAGTGTGGGATACCCCCCCCCGAGAGGCCCGAGCGGGCCCAATTCTTAGATCTTTTTCTTCTGTTGTTCCCCGTTATCTCGTCATTTTTGTTCATTGTATCCGTTCATTAGTAAACTCAAACCTGTTCAACCTGCCGTACACAGATGAAGACAGCAGTGTGACACATGTATAATGCGCCTTACATGCCTTCGTTACCAACTTGTTGTTGTTGTTGTTGTTGTTGGAGGAGCCACATACTATATCATCCACACGACATGCTGGAGTCAATTTTCAGTGAGCGAGACTCTCTCCGAGCGCGGAGTAGCTTCACGCCTCGACGCGTGTGCACGAGTAGAACCTCACAAGGAAAGCTACTCCACGGAATCCGCGGTACGTACGTCATGTGGAGCTCACAAGTTTTGCCGGGAGTGTTCTGTTTTCGCCTACCGTTCCATCGGCCACTTTCCGACACTCTCGAACGTACAACTAACAACGCCAACCAAAAACGAACGCCGTTTCGGGGTGAGTTTTGGCCCCGTCGAGCGTACGTCCGGCCCCTCTTCTTCCTTCTCCTCCTCCTCCTTCTCCTCCTCCTCCTCTCCCCGTCCTCCTCGTCTTCTCCCACCCCTCTCGCTCCCCCATCTTCCTCACACTGCCTTCTCCCTTCAGTGTCTTTCTTCACTGGACCCCGAGTTTGCTTCTTCTGTTGCGCCCCGACAACACCTTTGGTCATTGCCTTGTACCGCCACAGCCTAGGCGTGTGACACCCCCTGATCATGCTTTCCCTCTAGTCGTCTAGGTGCGGTACGCCAAACAGAGTACGGGCATGGCGAGCGTGGACGAGGGCACACGGCCAGGAGCACCCAGATGTACACTACCCGCCCCCTCATACAGACGCGGTGCCCCTTCATATATAAAGAAATTAGTATGGTCTGGTTTTAGATAGGGTTTTGTATGACGTTGGGGGGGGGTTGGTGGTCACTGCGCACCCCTTCCAAAATGAATTCTGCAAAATAAGAAAGTGAGTACCACGTGTGCACTAAAAGATTTTTGCACCCCCTTGCCAAGGGTAAAAAGAAAACACACAGATGAACAGGGATCCTGACGAGGGGCAACCATCATCCTGGAGATCGGCATCCTTTTTGCGGCAAGAGCTGGGAAGGGTTGGGATGTATTCGAAATATACAAGAAATCAACGGCTCGGGGATGTTGCTAACAACGGGCTGATAATCATGCCTTTGAATAACGTATGCTAAAGCTTCGTCTGGAGCAGTTGAGGCTCAGAGGGCAAAGGCGCAGGGCGCCGAGGCGTACTCAAATTGTTGTGTTTGCTTTATCGGTTGTGATTTTCGGGGTGCGTTCACACGAACGATCAAAGGTGATTTTTGTCTTCGCAATAGGTTGGTTTGCGCTCTGATGGTGGTGAAACCTTCTCTCGCCCCCTCACAAATGTTTGCGTCCCAAGAGCGAAAGAAACATGTTGCTGCAACTTGTCGTTCAGAGATTCCTTCTTGACACCGTCACCCCCTCCTTGGCAAGCCAACGTGATGTACAGTGACAGTAGGTGTAATCATCACGAATAATTTCGATTCATCCTGTTCGCCGGCGAAATCCCCATGTAGTCTACGCGCTTTTCCACGTCGCCCCTTGTCCGGGTTTCGTTGCCCCCGTTTGACCTCGACTACACCGGGGTATTCCGGATCATGCAGACGACCCACGGACCCGGGTCAAGCGGCTTGATGGAGGAACAGCAGCAGCAGGAGCAGCAGCAACAGCAGCAGCAGCAAGGGATCAATTCCATCCAAGGTGCTTGGGTCCTTGATCTCTCCAGGTGAGCTTGATGCTCTGTATTGTTTTCTGTTCGACAGTATGACAGTAGCTCTCATTAGGTTGGACTGACTTTCTTGTACTTGCACCTCTCTCTATATGTCTCGCTCTCTGTCTCTGTCTCTGTCCCTGTCTCTTTTAGACGGCCATCGAGTCTTCAACATACTCTCGTGGATTTCATTCTTACGGCATGGTAGACTGACATTGTTTTAACCGTATCGCGAACCAACCCAAACCATCTCGATCAACCAATACATCGCCAAATTGTTAAGGTCGGATACCATGCGGCGCTACCTCCAAGTATGCGGTGTGTCGGAGGAACGCAGCAGGCTTCATGTGAGGAAGAGCAACCTTAGTGCAGGCTGGTGAACACTTCCCACCTTTCCGTGGGGTAGCCAGTAAAATACTTGATTTTTCTCGGGACCCTCTCGTTAGTTGCTGGGTTGTAGTTTCATACGTAGGGGGGTAAATGCTTCGATTCGGATGAATTCCCCGGCGTTTCGAAACACGGCGCGGAAACGGCCTCTCCAGGAGCCGCCAGGCCTGGTCTAGCCGCAGTATCTCATGTGGTTATGGCATCAGTTGCCGTCGACAGGCGAAAAATCAACGCGCTCGATCTTCCGAAAACATTGCATGGCTTTGAGTGCCATTTCGACTTCGAGAGTACTCCGTATTGTACCGTAGTACCAGCGTTTCCGTGTACTGGGCACCCAAACAATCTGGTTGAGTACGGGAGGGTTTCGTTGACTCGCCGTTCCAAAACATTTGCGAGCAGCATCTTGAACGGCATTGATTTTCTTCGCCGAGCTGTTATTTTCCAACTGAGATTCAACCCAGGTCCAAAGGTTACACAGTCAGGCGCGATCTGACAGTCAGCGCAGTTCCGTTGATACCCAACGCCATTGATTGCTCTCCAGTAGTCTTTTTTTCACGGTTCCGCTGAGCTGTTTGTGGGGGACGCGCTTACATAGATCGAGACAAACATCGTCTCGGCGACGACACAATGTCGTCACGCTCGCAGCCTGAATTCCATTACAGGTTTATGTGTCTGGTACTATAATGGGCACACGATTTCCCACACATCAGTCCGCCGTTCCGGCGAACTGGTTGGCGCAATTTCGCACCGCTGTCTAGGAGACAGAGCGCGGGCAGCAACTGTGGAAGAGGTGCAAGGTCAAAAGAGGGTTGACCTTGGGTTGCCGTCACCAATGGGTCGGTACATGTTCAGTGATTGCCGTGCTGCTGTTCGAGAACAAGGGTGCGCTGCGTATCCAGGAGGGGTGCTTCCCCAGAGCCGAGAAATGTCTCACCTTGTGGTATGCATGAGGACAGCGTCGGATCCAAATATTGTGGTACCAACCTGCTTGCCGCGTGGTCCTTGATGGTTGTGATTTCATCTCGATATCGTTCGCATACTATGCATGTAGTCATGGCTGACGCACCTTCCCGTCTTTGCATGTTATGGAATCGACACTGATATTTGGTTCCGATCAGATTGACGCGGAGAGGAGGCACGGGGCACTCAATGTGATCCAAGTCGGTGACGGCATGCTTACCATCTATAAGCATACCTTTGCCAACAAATACACGGAGAGGTGCGGGATGAGTTTCTTGGGCGCCACGCTGTCGGTGCCCAGTTTTTCACAAGACACTGCGATATTCAACCTTCACTGCCTAGACTACAACTATTGGTTGCGTGGCTCTCATGCGGACACGTTCTCTTAGAATGCATCGCGCTGAAGGGTGCAGGTTGAAGCGGAGTCTTTCGTTTCCCAATACCGTTTTTTCGTGCTGTACCATGTGCCGGTATTCGTGTATGCCGAATGGTATCGTCGAGATTGAAACCGCGCGATTGGCCAATTTCATCTTCCTCACGTCATCTCCACAAATACATCGACTCCGTGCAGGCATTCCCCAGTCCTGCGACGGGAGTCTCGCCCCCCACCGCATTGGGGGGGAGAGGGCGAGGCGCCAATCGTTCCCCCCGGTAGTTTTGCAGACAAGATGTAGACGTCGAAACCCGCTAAAGAAGAACCATTCACAAATCAATCGATCGCTCGCACTTACGTACCCTTAGGCCTTGCCTCTCTACCTCAAGAATCTGATCCGGTGACGCATGCGTGTTCGGTTTTCTGCGAGCAGCCGCCGTCATTCCCTTGAGAGGACCCTTCACGAACAATCGCGCGCTCTTCACTATTACATGCGCTATTTTCAGAGGGCGAAACGAGGATGGATGAAACACGGCTCGGCGGGAGTAGCACAAATAGAGCCGGGGGCAAATTTGTTTTCGAGGTTACCACCTAGGGTACTGGAGTGATGGTGTTGGCTTGTTCTAAATAGAGTTAGGTCGGCGGGCCTCATTTACCATGTGCTCATATTGGTTGTGATCGGCTGGTGCATCAAAAGTCGCGTTAAAAAAAATATGGTTATGCGCCCTTTACCGAGCCGGCTGCTCTCCTCTCTCCCCCCCAACCGCCTATTTCTCCAACCCGTTGTAACGCCAACACCCGCCAGCTTTGGCACGACGGTACCAACGTACGAAATGTCGACGACAGCACCCCTTTGCACCAATCTCCCTCCCGTGTATGCGTTAGTTATGAGGCCGATGCGGAGGTTGTACGCTACAACAGCCGGACCCGTGCCCGCATGTCCGAGATATTGTCCCTCCGGCATGAAAATCAGGGATTCGTTCGATCGGCCAACCTATCCACCACCCTGGGAGTGAACAACACTCAATTGCTAGAGACGCGCCACATCGAAGAAGGGGGGCTCTCCCACTGTCAGGTGGGTCAACCGGGGGTGCTCTGCAGTAGTAGCTTCCGTTCCTGGTTTTTGGTTGCGTGGTGTACGGCGACCGTCCACGTACTTCGTACGTATGCCGATACAGTTGTTGCTTTTGCCGCTATTGAGCGTCCATTCAAATACTGCCTCAGTACTACTTTGTTGCAGGTGGCGCATAAAACTACAATCGGCAATACAACACAGCAATAAAAAGACGGGGGAATGTCCGGACTGTACAGTATTCACTCAGACCTCTCCCCCACTATGAAAAAAAAATGAGAGTTTACTGCAGCCCATACGATAAGAAGCCCGAATCATGAGTCAAGATATTTG